GGGGCCCACCCGCCTTCCTCCCCCTGGTGCTTACTGCCCCCGACCCCCAGCATTGGGCACAACGAGGTGATCGGAGTGTGCCGCGTGGGCCCCGACGCCGCCGACCCCCACGGCCGCGAGCACTGGGCCGAGATGCTGGCCAACCCCCGCAAGCCCGTGGAGCACTGGCACCAGCTGGTGGAGGTGAGCGGGGCGGCCATCCATCGGCTCACTTCCTCGCCCCTTCATCCATGCGAAGCATCCCGTCTTTCTGGGCTGCGCAGTCACAGGGCCTAGGTTCAAATCCCTGTCCTGCCAGCTTTAGCTGTGTGTCTTACAGCAAGTTGCTTAAACTCTATGCCTCAGTTTCCTCAGCTGAGAAATGGGGCTGCTGATAGCATCTTGCATTAAGTTAGATGTGAGGATTCAGGGATTTATGGGTTCAGTAATCGTCAGCTACTGCTGTTATCATTACCCATGATGCTAAGTCTAAAATAAAGGGGGGAAACTGGGCGATACGATGGACCGTGCTTTTTTTTTTTTTTTTTAAAGAGCTGGCTGTGAAAATGAGTGGATTGTATACTGGGTGGGGGCCAACAATGTCTTATTAATGAATACGGAAATAATAAAGTCCAGATAGAACAGAACAGAAAAATTTCTTAGTGTAGCACCCATTGTAAAGATCACAGTGTCGATTGTTTCTCCTGTGGGTTGTGATCCAAAAGGTTTGGAAGTCTGGGAGGTAGAGAGAATCTGGGTGGGGGGGCTGTCCTTTAGAGGATGGTGGGGGATCCTGTTCAAAGAGGTGACATTTGAGCAGAGTTCTGGAGGTTGGTAAGGAGTGGGCTTAGGTGAAGGTTGAAGGAGAAGGGTTGCAGGGAGAGGGCACAGGCCAGGTAGAGCCGGACGCAGGGAAAGGCGAGCATTTCTTAGAAGCAGCGGTGAAGCCACCTTGACGCCTGGAGCAAAGCAGGAGGGAGGGGTAGGCAGGTGACCGTGGGGACTTGCAGCTCACGTGGTCGCGGCCGGTTCTTAAATGAAAAGTCAGGTAAGGTTACTTGGTCAAGCAAGAGAAAACATCAAATGTGGCCGTCCTGCCAATAGAAAACAAGAAAAGCAAGGAAGATTTTGAAAATATTAGTGATGAAATTGCTTTCATCAAAACCAAGAAGGTAACATTATACTAACTTCTCTTTAGGATATAAATAAAAGATTTAAACTAAAAGTAATGTTTTAAATTTCAATACACTTACTCTTCAATTTTGGTATTTTTTGCCTATTTTAACATTCCTAAACAAATTAACCATTAAAAAATATATGAAAACATATATATAGGGGCACGTCCCTTTCCTATGGAGTAGCGATCCTTGGCAGTTCAATATGGCATGGGACTGGCCTTTATTTTAAACTTGGCATTTTGTTTATCATGGACTTTTCTTTTTTGGATTCATTTTTTTTTTTTTTAAATATTGCATTAAGATATTCTTTATCTTGATTGCCCAGTTTGGGGCACACCCTTATATCTGGCACCTGGCATGAAAATTTCACCTCACCAAAGCCCTCCTTTGGATTTTTTTTCAGAGGTGATAAAGGAATTAACACAGAGCTCATATTTAAGATTTGAAAAGACTGTGACTCTACTTAGGTGCATAGGATGGAGGCTATTCCCTCCTTCTGTCATTCACTCTACTCTTAATTCATTCACTCATTCATTCTACAAACTTCTTTGGAAGCTTCTGGTGATCCGGGGCCTGAGCTGAGCAATGCAGAGAGAACCATGGCTGAGTCTTGGCCCTGCCCCTGAGTTTCAGCCCGTGGTGCGATGTACGGCCTCAGAGGGTCTTTCTACACGCAGAGCTGCCCTGCCCCCTCCTGCCCACAGCTCTCCCAAAGTCTGTCCATGCCCTCAGGACACAGTCTCAGCCCCTCTGAAGCCCTGTAGGGTCTGCCCCACTCACCCCTGTAGCCTCATCTCTCCTCACATTTGCAGGGGCTCCTCTTTTTTGTACCTCAGTTTCCCTCTCTGTAGAATGGGATTGTAATACCATTTGCCCCATTGCTTCAGAGCCAAGTGAAAAAGAGCATTGTAAATATTGAAATAGGATTGATGTCTTTCCTGTTGATTATTGGTGGTGGTTTTGCTTTGTCCCCAACTCCTGAACCTTCTGGATTTCCTCTGTCAGGAAAAGACTTTGACCAGCTTCACCAAAGGCAGCAAAGGACTATCAGAGAAAGAGAACTCAGAGTGAGAGGTAAGGAACCCAGACCAGAGGGGAAGTGGCTGAGGGGTCTGGATATTGAGGGAGGGAGGGGCTGGGGACCTGGACTCCTGGGTCTGAGGGAGGAGGGGCTGGAGCCAGGATTCCTGGGTCCCTGGGGTGGTAATGGAGTCACAGCAGGTCCTGACCCTATACTCTGCCATCACTGACCTTTCCTCCCCTTCCCCATTGTGCAGGTCTGGCCTAGGCCCAGGATCGGACCAGGCCCCCTCAAGACCCCATCCCTTCCTGCCCGGACTGTGAATTCATCTCCTCGAAGCCATAACGTCCGAGCTGCTGGTGCGGGGCAGCCCTGCGCTTGCCCCTCCTACTCCTGGAGGCGTGGGGGTGGGAAGCAGGCGGGCCCAGCTCCTTGTTTCAGGGTGGGGAGCATTCAGCCTTCACTGTGTCTGTCTTCTCTTCCCTGGGGCTCCCCCTCAAGATGAGGGGCCATGCATGTCTGGGGGAATCCTACCCCCAAAACCTCCGTCTATTTGTCTCTGCTGTTTGTCCAAGACTTCACGTCCTGACCCTTGTTCTTGCCGTGAATGTTGTCGGACCAATCCTCTGAGTCCCCCCAGACACACTCACACCTGTGTCCACCCCTTCTGTTTGCTGTACCCCGTGTCTGGCCGATCCCCCCACTGCTGCTGCTATCAACGCCAGAATAAACACACTCTGTGGGTCTCACTCCACCTGGGGCTCCTGTCCTCTCTGGGACTGGGAAGCTGGATTGAACATGCTGACTCTGTGTTCAGATAATTGTGTGTTTCATTCACTGGCTGGACAACTTAATCTCTCTGAGCCTTAATTTCTAAGAATTATATTAGCCAAGACCACTGTGATTATAGGACACAAAATGCAACCCAAGGCCACAAACAGAATTAAAAGACCTCTGTACATGGAGAATCTAAGAGTACAGAGGGGCTTCAGGCATGGCTGGATCCAGGTGTTCAAGTGACTCTTTTGCTTCTGCTTTCCTCTTTACTGAGTTCATTCTCAGGTAAGTCTTTGCAATGGTAATGACATGGCCACTTGAGCTCCAGGCTTGTAATGCTGCATCTGTTATGATGCCTTCAGCTGCAAAAAACAGAATTCCCAACTGAAAGAGCTTAAATGATAGAGATTTCTTGTGCTCGTGTAACAAATATTTCAAAGACAAACAGACCCAGGGTTAGTTCCACTGCTCAACAATGTCAGTGACATTTCTGAGATTGGTTTTGCCTTCCCCTCATGAGTACAAACTGTCTGCAGCAACACCAAGCATCATGTTCTCCCACAGCGGCATCTAAAGCAGGCCTGTGAACAGGAGCCTCCCCTTATGTGTTCCTCTTTTTTTCTCCCCAGAGAAATTCTCCGTATTTTTCTCTTGCCAGAACCGGATTCTGTGGTGACCACAAATTGCAAAGCAGTCAGGAAAGTGAGCATCTGTCATTTCTAGTCTCTGTTGGGGTGTGCGGGCTTTGGGAGAGAGGAAGCGCGGGGAGGGGAATGATAGTTGAGTAGGAATTTAAAAGGACCTGCAGCAACTGCAAGAAATTAACAAGACCTGCTGTAATTGTCCTAAGAGCAAGTAACTCCAGAGGAAAAAAAATGAGGCTCCTCTCTCCCTCGGCCTCCATGTCATTCAGGAAAAGGATTCTAATTGGTGCTACTCAGGCCTTGAATAGTCACCTTCAGGTCGGTGATGTCCAGTTTGGCATACTTGCTCTTGGCCCCACCCCCTGCCATCGTTGACTCCTCCTCCCCTGGCCATCTTGCCCAGGATTGGCCCAGACCTGCTCAAGACCCCAACCCTTTTTTGCTGGCATGGTAAATTCATCTTCTTGAAGCCATAATATTCTTTAGTAGAGAACATAGTCAGTGATCCCTTGATTGATATTCCCAACAGACCCCATGGCAGTGTGCAAGGGACAGTCCCTCAAAGTAGTCTACCACTTTCCACCCTTGGCTCCTTGGTGTTAATTCACACCTATGTAACCATACACACCATTTAAAAAAATTCTCCCACTATGAAAAATGGTATAACTGCTGAATTAGTTTGCTAGGGCTGCCGTAAAAAACTACCACAAACTGGCTGGCTGAAAATAACGGGTTTATTCTCTCACAGTTCAGGAGTCTGAAGTCAAGGTGTTGGCAAGGTTGGTGCCCTTTGAGGCTCTGAGGGAGAATCTGTTCCATGCCTGTCTCCCAGCTCCTGGGTGGCTACTGGCAATTCTTGGCATTCCTTGGCTTGTAGATGCCAAGGAATCTCTCCAATCTCTGCTTCTGTCTTTGCATCACCTTCTCCCTTGTGTGTCTGTGTCTTAAGTCCCCCTCTGTCTTTCTCTTAAAAGGATGCCTGTCATTGGATTTAGAGATCACTCCAAATCTAGGATAATCTCATTTGGAGATCCTTAACTTAATTACATTTGCAAACCGCAAAGGCCCTTTTTCCAAATAAGATCACATTCACAGGTTCTGGGTGTTGGGACGTGGACATAGCTTTTGGGGGTTACCATTCAATCCACTACAACCACCTTGAGGGACAGTTTGTCAGTTTCTATAAAGTTAACATAAACTTACCATGTGACTCAGCAATCCCACTTCTAAGCATTTACCCACGAGAAATAAAAACATGTTTGCACAATTATTCACAGCAACCTTATTCATAATAGCCCAAATCTGGAAAACTGAAAACAACCTAAATGACCATCCACAGGAGAATGGCTAAACAAATCCTGGTGTGTCCGTAGGATGGAATACGACTCAGCAATAAAGAGAACCACCTACTGAGATGTGCAGCACCGTGGATAAATCTCAGGAACATTACATCTGTGAAAGAAGCCAGGCACAAAAGAAGAGTAGGTGCTGTGTGATTCCATTCATGTGAAACTGTAGAAAAGGAGACACTGATCTACAGGGACAGAAAGCAGATCTTTCTGCAGATGGTTGACTGGGGTCAGTGAGGGGGTGGGGTGGGCAAGGGGGGCTGGAGAGCTTGATTACAAATGGGCACAAGGGAACCTTATGGGAGGATGAAATTTGTATATCTTGATTGTCACATAACTGTATACATTTCTCAAAAATTCATTGAAAAGTACGTTTTAAATTGGTGCATTAAAAATATTTAGCTGATGCAAAGTGCACGTAACATAAAATTTAATATCAACCATTTTAAAGTGTACAGGAGTATTAAGTACATTCACGTTGTTGTGTAACCATTACCCACCTCCAGAACTATTTTCATCTTGCAAAATTGAAACTGTGTACCCATTAAACAACAATTCCCCATTCCTCTTTCTTTCCAGCTCCTTGCAAACACCATTCCACTTTCTGGGAAATTCTCTATGATTTTGACTACTTTAGGTACATCATATAAGTGGAATCATACAGTATTTGTCTTTTGTGAGTGGACAGTTTCACTTACCATAATGTCCTCAAGGTTCACCTATGTTGTAGCATGTGTCCAAATTCCCTTCCTTTTGGGGGCTGAATAATATTTCATTATATGTATATACCACTTCTTTGTTTATCAGTTCATCCATCAATAGATACTTTGATTGCTTCCTTCCACATTTGGCTATTTTGAATAATGCTGCTATGAACATGGGTTGCAAATATCTCTTTAAAACTTTGGTACATTTCCTTGTACGCAAATTAGACTTCAATAATGTTCGTTTTTTAAAAAATACTGCTAACATAATACAACCATCTCAAGTGCAACTGCAGAATTCGCCCCTTCGCCAAAGGGAGGTAACCCAAAGCTAGATCCAGTCCCCAGATCAGGATTTCTGGATATTGGATATTCCTTTTATCAAGGGCACATGGAGTCTCTCTTGATCCACAAAATTAATGCTAAATAAAAATTGTAGCCACCCTCAGCAACCCACCCCAAGATATAACAGTGGAGGAAACACAGGAAAGCTACCACAATTCTTATTTGAAAAAAGAGAGGAGGAGAAACGAAATAGCGTGGTCATTTACTATATTTGTTAAAACTCCTCAACTTGCAAGCAACAGAAAGCCGGCCTTAAAAAAAATATTGAAATATAATATACACAGAGAAAAATGCACAGTGATCCAGTATGTATTGCTCAGTTCACGAGCTGAGCACACCCATGTAACCAGCCCATACATAGGTCATGAAATAGGACATTATCAACTCCCCCAAGCCCTTCGGGCTCCCCTGTCAGTCACCTCTTCATGTCAAAGGTAACTACGCTCCTGATTTCTGACGCCATAAGTCAGTTTTGCCTGGTTTTTAAACTTCATCTAAATGTAACCTTAGAGTGGGTAGACTTGTGTGTGTGGCTTCTTTCCTTTCGGCATGTCCGTGAGATTCATTCATGTGGCTGCTGTTTGCTGTGGGTTGTTCATTGTCATTGCTGTGTAACAGTGTGTTATGGGAACATATCATAATTTATTTATCCATCCTACTGTTCATAGACATTTTGGGTGGTTTATGGCTTGGCACTGTCACTTACAGTACTGCTGTGAACATTGCATTTTTGTGAACATATGTAGGCATTTCCATTGTGTATATATCAAGAATTGTAATTGCTGGGCCCGGGATGTGTGTGTGTTCGGCTTTAATAGACACTGCCAACCAGTTTTCCCAAGTAGTTGTCCCCATATATGCATCCACAAGCAGTCTCCGAGAGGTGCGGTTACTCGCCAACATTTGGAATTGTCAGTCTGCTTAATTTTAGCAATTCTGGGGTGATGTATCGATATTTTATTAAGGTTTTAATATACCTTTCCCCAGTGACTAATGAAATTTAACACTTTTCCAAATATTTATTGGCCATTTGGATATCCTCTTTTGTAAAGTGCCAGTATCGTTTTGTCTGTTTTTATATTGAGTTTTCTGCCTTTTCTAATTGATCCGTAGTTCTTCATAGATTTTGCATATGGAACTTTTGTCAGAATATGTATTCTTCTCCCACTCTGTGGCTTGTCTTTTCCATTCTCTTAGTGGGATTTTTTGATGAACATAAGCTCCTATTTCAATATAGTCCAATTTATAAATATTTTCCTTTATAGTTAAGGCTTTTTGTTTGTTTCTTCTTTAAGAAATCTTTGCCTATCCTGAAGGTCCTCAAGATATTTTACAATGTTTCCTTCTAGAGGTTATATTGTTTAAGTTTTAACATTCAGATCTACAACGCATCTGGAATCAATTTTTAGTGTGAGGTTAAGGGTCATATGGACATCTACTGGCTCCGTCCTATTTATTTAAAAAGATCATTTTTTCCCTAACTGCACTGCGGTATTACTTTTGTCATAAATCAAGTGACCATATATTTGTGAACATTTTCCTGGTTTTTAAATGTTGCTCCTTTGGTCTATTCGTCTTCCTTTGCAATAGCACAGTGCTTTGATGATGATTATAAGGAGTCTTGCCATCTGGTAAGTCCTCTGGCTTTGTTTGTTTTTGACAAAGAAAATTGATTGGCTTCTAGAACTGAGGTTGGTTGGCTTATAGAACTAGTGTCAGGCATGGCTGAATCCAGGTACTAAAATGAATCTTCAGGAATATATCTCTTTTCCTATCTGGGCTTTACTTTTCTGTGTCTTAACTTCCCTCTCAGGTAGAGTCTCTCCCCTCAGAGTGGCAAAGAGAGCCTGAAGCAGCTCCAGGTTCCATCCTGTGGTGTTAGCCACCTAGCTTAAAGGGGCCACCTCTTTCCTGAATACTGAAGTCCCAAGATTA